TTGTTTGGGACGGTTTAAGGATTCTTGCCTTGGGGCAAAGGGTTGGACTAAAAGACTCCAAGGTCTTCTAGGACTCCAGCTGTGGGATTCTATGAGCCTTTTTTAAAAGGTGTGGAGGGAAGAAGGACTGATTTGTCCCTTATTTGAAAAATGGTATTTTTCATGTAGAATGCATTTTTGCATTCAGTTTATTCCATGTATTAGGTCAGGAGGGGATGGATGGAGGACATGAAAAACAAGCTGGTTTAAGATTAGGCCTGGGCATTTTTGGAAATAAATATTATTTAGAAATCCAGAAATGTTTGTATTTGCTTGATATAAAAACATTGATAATAGAAAAATCATGCAAAGTTATCTTTAATTCTGGAATCTCCAGACAATTTGTTGCGGTATGCTATTCTCTTCACTCTAAAAGTATATATATATATATATTTAAAAGAAGCCACCACATGCTGTTATCTTTTTATGGGATGTGGGAAAATTATCTGGATTTGAAGGATGCCCCCGGCAAAAAAGGACTGTAGCTATATGTTTACAATTTCTTTTAATCACTTGCATTATAGCCGAAATCAATAATGACCAAGCAATAAGTGTGAACAGCAGCATTTTTACCTGAGATGCCAGCTGGTAGTTATAAAGGTGTTGTGTAGCTCACCAGATATTCCCTGAGATCTTCATTTAAACCTAAGACTGAAATTTTAGTTTGCTGCTTAGAGAGCTATGCTAGTTTAAGCACTTCTTTTACCAAGTTCATGTATGTAAATGGGAAGGCTTTCAGGAAGATTGCTGAGATAACCAATTATTTCCATGGACAGTGGTACCTTGGTACTTGGCATTAATTCATTCTGGGAGATGCAAGGATGAGTCTCAAACAAATCATGTGACTTACCATGTAACCTTTTGTTTCGGTTGGCAAGATCTTTCTGCCCGTCCCTTTTCCTATATCAGCGACCTTCCCAACATGGCCAACTTCCTGTGACCATCCCCAGCTCTGTGGCCATCCCTACTTCTTTTGCAGTGACCTTCCCAGCATGGCTGACTTCCTCTCCATTCCCCTCAGCTGTCCCCCTGAAAGCAAAACCAGCTCTGGCCAGACTCCACCCACATCCCCATAGTAAAAGCATAGAATTCTTCCTCCTGCCTCTTGGTCAGGTCACATTGCCCAATCAAGCAGAAAAATATTGTTATTATAAAGCATCTTCAAGTCTACCCAGACGCTTGGTAGAATGTCCTTGAATTTCATGGTCTGGCCTCTTGATCTTCGCAGCTCACATTCCAACCCCTTTAACATTGTAATAGGTTTGTTGGCAAGTTGAGAAGCAATATTTTTCACATCAGCAAGACTGTGCTTCGAAACTTGACAATGTGTTGAGAACCAAATGGGTTTTGAAGCAGTTGAGTACCGAGTACAGTACAGAACTACTGTAGTTGCAGCAGAATATCCTCAAGTGACCCAGCAGGTAGTACTGAAAGGTAGTTTCCAGTTTTCCCCAAGGTTGCCATTCAACATGGTACTTAATGCCATGGCCTGCCATGGGGCAATAGAGAATAACTCCACTTCTTCCATGCAACAATTCTTTTTTTTTTTTAACTTTTTATTTATAAAACAATTAAAAAAAACATTGGATTTGACGTGACATTCCAGTATATACATTCTTATCAGATTATACCATATTTTACAATCAATTCATTATCTCTACATATACATTAAATTTTATATACATTATCTATTCTAAAGTAACATACATTTCTGTCTTAACATTCGTCTTTAATCCCAGCAGTCCTTTTCAAATTCCTCCAGCGGTAAAATTTATCCCAGGTTTCAAAAAAAAATTGATCCACATTTATCTTTTAGTATCATTGTGAGCCTGTCCATTTCTGCACATGCTAATATTTTATGTATTAACTCTTCCTCTGTGGGAATTTCCTTACTCTTCCATTTTTGCGCAAAGGCAAGCCTGGCTGCTGTCAAGATATGTAGCAGCAGGTAGATTGTTCCCTTATCATATTTTTCTGTCATTATTCCCAGCAAGNGATCGGGAAGGCCAAAACCCCCCCTTTCCTTAACATCCTGTAATAATTTTAATTTAATCCTTGGTTTTTTCCCTTGCCAAATGAATTTAAGTATAGTTTGATTGAAATTTCGAAAAAATTCCTTTTCTAATCTAATTGGTATACATTGAAATAGGAATAATATTTTAGGTAATATGTTCATTTTAATTACGGCAATTCTGCCCATGAATGAAAGCTGAAGATTTGTCCAGGTGCCCAAGTCTGTTTTAATCTGATCCATTAATTTGTCATAATTGTCTCTTTTAATTGTTACACACCTAGCTATTAAATATATCCCTAAATATCTTATTTTCTTTGTGATCTGAATACCTAATTTATCAGCTAGTTCATTTTCCTGTGATCTTATCATATTCTTCAGAAGCATTTTGGTTTTTTCCTTATTTATCCTTAGGCCTGCCATTTCACCATATTCCCCCAGTACTTCCATTAGCCTTGTCCCTGATTGTAAAGGTTCTTCGAGTATAAAAACAAGATCATCAGTAAAAGCTTGCAATTTACAAATTTCTCTCTTAATCTCTAAACCTTTAATATACTTATCCTTCCGAATTATTCTATTTAATACCTCCAGGGATAATATAAACAGTAGTGGAGATAGTGGGCAACCTTGCCTTGTGCCTTTTTGAATTTGAAAATTTTTAGTATTTTGTCCGTTAATTGTCACTTTAGCTACCTGTTTGGAATAAATCGCTTTAAACATATTTATAAAATTCTCCCCAAAATCCATGTATTCCAATTGATTAAACATAAAGTCCCATTTCACATTATCGAATGCCTTTTGTGCGTCAAGGAAGATTAGTCCCATTTGTTTCTCATTGTGGACTTCATAGTATTCCAATACATCCAGTATAACCCTGACATTGTTTCTTATATGCCTTTTGGATAGAAAACCGTTTTGATCCGTATGTATAAATTTTACTAAGAATCTTTCAAGACGTTTAGCCATTATGGCCATGAAAATTTTATAGTCCGAATTTAATAATGAAATGGGCCTGTAATTTTCGATAAATGCCAAATCTGAATTGTCCTTGGGGATCAAAGCGATAGTTGCTTCTTCCCATGACATTGGAATCTTCGCATTCTTCAAAACCTCGTTAAATAAGTCTACTAGCACTGGACTTAGAGATTCTTGCATTATTTTGTATATTTCTATTGGTAAACCATCCGGACCTGGGGCTTTATTGTTTTTTTGTTTCTTGATTGCCTCAGATAGTTCCAAAGGTGTTATCTCTTTATTTAACATATTTTTAATCTCCTCTGGAACTTTTGGTAAATCAGCTAATTGCAAATATTTTAATATGTCATCCTTGTTTTTCCATTCTACATCTTCATATAATTTCTTATAGAACTCATAGGCCACCATTTTCTTCCTTTCATTCTGATAAACCATCTCTCCTTTTTCATTGTATAGTTTATTAATCCTCTTTTTATCNTCTCTTTTTTTATATCTTCATGATTTTTACACATCACCTCTTGCATTGATTGCAACATTAGTTGTAAATCTTTAAATGAATTTGCTCTGTCTCTTTGTGTCACCTCTTCCAAGGATCTTTGCCTAGCTGGACTTGGTTCCATTGGTGAGGTGTGTGTTGTCTGCTTCTTTCCTACTCCAACTCTCGTAAGATTAGGGATACTTGTCATCTTTCTCAACTCTGCAAACCAGCCACCCCACTTATTTACAGTCCCTCCGTTTCTTTCCAGAGTATCTAAGTTGTCTATATTAAGGCTAAATGTATTGTGCTTTATGTATAATAGTAACTTATTAATTAAATATATTGAATACAATTATACAATTATATACTTAACCCTTAACCCTAAATATCAATATATATAACAAAAATCAATATTCACAATAAACTTATCAGCAAATATAGTCCCAAGTCAATTTTTGATTAGAGGCTAGAATCCATCATTTCAAAAAGTTCAATGGTTATATACGGTATTTTCCTTATAGTCCCTTATAATGTCTTTTAGGTTTTGAGATCAAGAAAAGAGATTTTGTACTGCTTTCTAGTTTATATGCAACAATTCTTCAGCTATTTGAACACTTCTTTTGTATGTGTCTCAGTTATTTCTTCTCTACTCATGTTCTTTCAACATACTGGTAGAAGTTGATTTCCAGATTCCTCAACATCTTCATTATCTTCCTCCAGACTTGTTCCAATTTATCTTTCTCCTTTTTGAATTATGGTGCCTAACGTACACACAGTATTCCAAATGATAGGGTAGAGTGGGTTAATAACATCCCATAATCTGAATTCTGTATCCCCTTTTAAGGAACCGAAGATAACATTTGCCTTTTTAGCAGCTGCATCACACTGCTGGCTCATGTCTAACTTATGGTCAATGAAACACCTGGATGTATATTTCTTTGATCAAGGAATAAAAAACAATAGCCAGGTGTTTGAGGGTTTTATTTAGTGAAGGATCTACTTCCTGTAGAAGATAAATGAATCTGCTACTGTATATATTTGGTGCTGTACTCAATAATGTTAACATTGTAAATGTTATTGGAACAGGAATGCATATGACTTGAGGTTTTATTACAGAAAACTGAGTACATGATGTTGTAAAATTCTCTCACAAAGATAGCCTTGAAAAGGGGATTAGGATTGCATGTGAATATAGTTTGAAAAACACTAGATGAATCTGTTATAAGTCATATGTAAACATATTTCTATTAATGTCATGGCTCAGGATTTGAGGAGAGGAAATGTTCTCTCTTTGCAGATACTCCACTTCAGAAAATAGCTTCAGAAATATATTTAACAAGCAATTTCTGCAGTTGTTAATGTGCTATGTTTACAGCTTCCTGTTGCGGCCGTTGAACATTCTTTTAATTTTTTCCTCTCCTTCAGGTTCCTGTACAGTGGTCAGATATGGTAACTTTAAAAGCTCGAATGATCAATTATGGTTTACCTCGTTATCATTGGCTGACCCATGCGTGGAATTTCTTCCAGAGGGAGGTTAGTGATCAAACAGTCAATAATCATGTCTGTGAATTATAACTTGCATTTTTATGTAGTCAAATTAAATGAGATAGATGTGGATTTTTTTTCTTCTCATGTGATGGACAGAAATGTGTAACTAATTCCAATAAATTAATCAATATAATGAATAATCTTCTCCCACCTCTCCTCCACATGATGGAGAGGAAACTGTCACATTATAGTTAAGCTAGTTAAATCAAAGATAAACAACAGGAGAAGACAACTACTGATTTTGCCTTGATTTTGAGTGCGTCTGAAGCTGGGCACAAATTATAACCAGGATTAGTATGTTGCATGAATCAACTTACTAGACTATAAGTTGCTTCATTCAACTTTCCATGGTTAAAATTGTGATTTTGTTCTACATGTGAGCTGAACCATATAATACTGGAGTTGATGGTGTTCAGCCTTAGTCAGGATGGCAGGGTAACCTTTCATACATAAAAGGAATGATCTGCATAAGTTATGGAAAGGAAAGAACATTTTCCTGATGAAAACATCTTATATTATTGAAGGTTTGCTTTAAAATGAATTTGAAAACTTCAATGTTTAAATTTAATTTCTGAGAGTAAAGTTGAAGAAGAAATTATTTCCAGAGAATTACAAGCAATGTTTCCATAGATTGCTATTGTGTGATGGGATCCAGTTTTATTTCTTGAATGAACTGATGGTGGAACAGCACTAATTTGTACATTAATGGAAACAAAGGCACAGAAGAATATTAAAGAATATTAAAAGGATAAATCATTATATAGAAAATACATGGAAGTACGCATGAAAAAAGCCATCAATTACAGATACTTCTTCACAGACCAGACACAGTTTAAATGTCAATCATTTTCTTGAAATCTGTGCATTTAAAAAATTGGTTGGCTGAATTGGTAAGTTTGTTTTAAAAACAGTTAAATGGGAAAACAAATACAATTAATGAATTGCATTCTTCAAAAGCTCTGCATCTATTAAGGAAAAACAGAGCTATGGTTTGTCTTTTTTGATGCAGTGGGAGGAAGAAACTTGGGAAAAAAAACCTGGTTTATTTATCCTGAGGGGGGAAAATATCTTACTCTCTTTGCACTCTGGTATTCTTTTTTAAGAATTGCAACCTTAATGAGTGTTGGGCTTCTAATTGTTGAAATTGTTACAGAGAGAGCACTTGTGGTGAGAAACCGTTATGGGTGCTAATTACAGATTGGCTTTTTTCTGTTTCGTTGGGCAAATGAGAAGATTATGTCCCTTATTACACCGATTGCGAGAGAAAATGTGCAGCAATTTTAAAGAAATTTTTAAGAAAGAAATAAACATTCCTTAGTGGCTTAGTTTAAAGTTATCTTTTTGGAGAAGCTCTCTGGTGTAACCATAATGTTTGGTGCATCCACGAAATGATTTTGATTATTGTTAAGCCTTTTATTGCTATGTTGTAAACTTTTTAAACTTTTAATATCTGTATGCTGCTGTTGAATTGAAGGGTTAGAGTTACTGAATTGGCAGCTTGAACTGAATTGGCAGATAAATCTTGTAAATAAATAAATGCTAACTATGGACATGCCAAAAACACTTACATGGACGTACAGGAGAATTGATAGAAGAGAGGGATTCTTTTACAAACCGAGGGCCAGGGCCAGAAGTACAGAAGACAGGTATATGCCATCGCTGTACGGAATACAAATCTGAACAAGATTTTTTCAAAGTCATCTGTCTATGCAGAGACATGTTATGCATTTATCCAAATTCCCAGTAACCAATACGTGCTCTCCTGAAATACTTGGGGCATTTTGCATTTTGCATTTACATTTTGCTTAGCGACCATTCAACATTATGACAGGCACTGCCCCCAAATTTTGAAGTTCTGAAGGCCATAACCTCCATCCCCACCCATATTCACATGATAGCATTTTGGGCATTTGGCAACTGGCTCGCAGTTATAGCCATTTGCAGTATCCCACAGTCATATGACTGTGATTTTTTATGTTTTTATAGGTTCCCAGCATTTACTTCCAGTTTCTGGCAAAAAACACCTTTTAGATGATATAGATTTGCTTAATGACCTCCGCTTTTCCTTAACAGCTATTACATTCATTGCAAAAAAGGTCATAACATTCAGTGCAATCATGAGGTGATCCACTTAATGACTGCAATAATTTACTACCATAACTCCTGGCTCAATTATGTTCATAAATCAAGGACTACCTGTAGATATTTTTTCATTTTAAAGGTGTGTTTATAATAGCACTTCCATTTCAATATGCTATAGCTATCTTTCTTTGAGCTTCTACATGTAACATTTTTGGGTGGTAGACTTTTTAACTCTTTTTTGGGGAGAGCTGGACAAGAAACATAAAGGCTAGACTCATTTAATTTGCTAGTTGAACAGTTTGAAAGGATTTAATCTGAGATTTAGTCTGTTCAATCAAACACATTTTGGGTGCCTTTGAGATTCCATAAAAATGTTAATATTCAGAAACCTGGGACTGGACAATTTTGGTTTCCCTAGATTTCCCATCCCAATTTCCACTCTCCTAAAATAGCTTCTCAAAATTAAATAAATGTTTGTTAATTTATTTATATTTATCCTGCCTTTATTTGTTTTTTTATAAATAAGGTGGTGTACATATCTCATACTCCTCTCTCTTCCAGTTTTCCCCATAACAACAACCCTGTGAATTGGGTTAGGCTAAGAGAGAGTGACTGGCTTATAGTCACCCAACTGGCTTTCATGCCTAAGGCAGAACTAGAACTCACAGTCTCCTGATTTCTAGCCTCATACCTTAATCACTAGACCAAACTATGCTCTCATTTTTCATTTTTTTATTCATCATTTTTAATTTATTTTACATTAGAAAACCTGTAAGATCTTTACTCCTTTGGCTAGTTGTTATATATCATTTAGAAATTTAGGTTTTGTCATGAGGGTTTGGAAACTTTTTCTGGGAAAATGAAAAAGTTGAAATTGTCAGAAAAACAGAATTACTTTGATCCAGTCTTAATGGCACAGAAGTGACAGTTTATTAATAGATGTTTCCTGCTATAAACTTCTGTAAATTATGCCCAAATTCCAATAACATTCTCTTGCCAAATATGCAAATCTAACTTTTGAAACAGACAATGCATTGTGAAATGCATTCCAAGCCCAAAGCAATTTTTAGGTGGCTTAATTAGAAAAGCTGACTAAATAAAACTAATTTGGTGTATTTCTCATTTTAACATTATACTAACTATATCTGACCGTTTACTGTTTAGCTTTTAAAAGTATTTTGAATTTACTTGCTTTCTATTTTAGTGAATACCTATCTTTTTATTTCACTAGAAGCACATAATTTTATTTGGGAAAGGATTTTTTAAAGTTAGGCTACATTAATTTTCTAATAGACAGGTTTTTTTGTTTTTCCATTTTAAAGCAGAGGTTTTGCTTACCAAGATGAGTCACAAAGAAAAACAAAGGCCTTGAGGTTTGGATGATAATTTTCACATTTGGATTTTGAGAGGAATTTCATTTAAGCGCTCTTGAAGTTTACAAAACATCTATCTTCAGACCCATAAGTGATTTAGGTAGTTCAATCAAAATGGAAGAAGTACAAATGGAAGGATAAGATGGTGTTTGATCTGGGCAACATTCCAAGCTATTTTTCTTTATTGCTATAAAGAGGCCTTGTTTTCTTCTAAAGCATTGATATTCAAAATGGGGCTTCCTTTAGAGAAGTTGCAAGCTTGAATGCAACTCAGAATTGTTCACTGCATTCTGTGGTCCTTGAGTATCATACAAGGATGATGGTTCTTTTGCAGTTTAAATGCTGTGGAGTGGTGTATTTCACGGATTGGCTGGAAATGACAGAGATGGATTGGCCTCCAGATTCCTGCTGTGTGAGGGAATTCCCAGGATGTTCTAAACAGGCACACCATGAAGATCTTAGTGACCTTTACCAGGAGGTAAGACTTTAAACAAAAACCTGCCTCTAAGCCTGGAAGCTGTGTGTTTTATTTGCTGCAGCTGCTTTCCACCTGCAGTATAAGTACATGACATTGCACTTTACAACAGCATCATTTAGCAACACATAGTTGCCGGTCTCAGTTACTATCCTAAAATGAGGACTACCTGTTTTAGCAATACTGATGGAAAGTCCTTTGGGATGCCCGAATCCCAAACTGAATATGCAAGAAAAGCCCTTGGAATTGAAGCTGAAAATGGGGTAACATTTCCTCACAAATATTAGAATGACAGTGTTGTCATATAGGCCCTTAATTGTTATAACTCATACAGTCTACAGATCTGGGCTGCCTGTGTGTGCTCTGTCCCTCTTTCTAGGATGTGTCTTTCTTGTTTCATATCTTCACAAAATCTTTTGTTCAACCACATTGACAGCTTATAGTCTGCTTCATTCCTTGATCTTCATTGAAATTGCTTGCAATTATTCAGTACTTCCTTTTTGAGAGCTTCTATTCATACATATTACTTTTCTCATAACTGTCTCATTACAATTTGCTATTGCTCCACATTTATTAAAATTGGCACAGATTCTAGGATAACTAAAAGCCCTCTTTGCTGTAATTTTGTTTTTTTTTATATTATTTGCATTTTTTTTGGGAAAGGCTTTTCCTTATGACAGGCAATAATAAATACTAGCAATAGTACTCCTTTTATTTGTTCTTTGATTTATTTTATCACAGATGCTTTGTACAGTATTGCCAAATTCATTTGTGTTGATTTATGAGCAGGTGTAGATACTTTTAACATACAGTAGAACTTTTCCTCTCTTTTGTTGTTTTTGAACAAAATGTATTCTCTCAATATATTTCAATCATTGGCTTCATTGCCCTCTTCATATACTTCATATACTTTATACTTCATACCTATTAAATCATACATGTTTTTATACTAGGAGTTCAAGCTTAATATATAGACAGTGAATGCCAATGTGTCAGCTAATGTTCTAGTATGTGATTTTTTTAGAGTGCTTTAATAGGCCTCTTTACAGGTTATCCTCAACTTAGAACAGTTCATTTAGTGACTGTTCAAAGTTACAATGACACTGAAAAAAGTGACTAATGACCGTTTTTCACTCTTATGGCCATTGCCGCATCCCCATGGTCACGTGATCAAAATTCAGACCCTTGGCAACTGGCTCATATTTATGACAGTTACAGTGTCCCGGAGTCATGTGATCTCCTTTTGTGATCTTCTGACAAGCAAAGTCAATGGGAAAGCTAGATTCCCTTAACAACTGACTTAACAACTGCTGTGATTCATTTAATAACTGTGGCAAGAAAAGTCATAAAATGGGGCAAAACTCACTTAACAACTATCTTGCTTAGCAACAGAAATTTGTGGTCACAAGTCGAGGACTACCTTTACTCATATTCTTCTCTAGTACACATCTTTATCTAAGGTCTTTACATTAGGCTCTTGTGCTCTAATCCCCACAGGATTCAGTATGAAACCTTTCTGATGAGATTCATTATGCTTTGTCCAAATACAGGTAGTTATCATTTAGCAACCACAATGACACCAATAACTTTGCCTCTAAAGCAAAGAAGTCACTAAGTGAAAAATCGCATGACCATATCTGTGGTTTATAGTTTTACTTCAGCTTTCTTTGCCTTACAATTCCTCAAAGATATTTTAAATGTTTTATATTTTTTTCTTTTTAATAATAATTTTTTAATCTTTTTATAATGATTGCTTTTTAGCATCTGTGATTTTGTTTGTTGTATGCTGTCCAGAGTTGCTTTTAGTGAAATGAGTGGCTATATAAATATGGTAAACAAACAAATGTTACTCCAAACAGCCAGGTGAGCCAATCTTTGAGGAAGGTTTCTGGAACCCAACTCAGAAGGAAGCTGAGTAAAAGGGCTAATCTTACAGTCCTTCTTCTCACTCCCCTACCCTTTGGAATGCTAACCCTTGTGCTGGGAAAATTAGCAGGATGAGAAGTGATGTTCGTATTTACGTTCATTGGAGAGAAAGAGAGTGCAAGAGACTAACCAGGCACACACACATGGAAAGGAATGCACTAGCATCAGCTGTTTACCTAACCCTGCTTGCAGCTGCCAGTTAGGAAAAAGGAAGCCTGTAGCATGAAACTGATTATGGTCTGGTCCATTACAAGCAGCTGTGCAAGCTGGCTAGAGAGTTCTAATTAAGGTCAGAGAGTTGACCTTGTTAACTTGTGGTTAGCATTTTTTAAGGATGCGTGTTGGCTTAGGCAATCTCTCCACACTGCAAGGCTGAGAGGGGAAAAAACCCAAGTCAGGCATAGGACAGTGTGTAGTAACTGATTGTAATAGTGAACAAGTGATTGAGAGAAAGAGAGAGATGGACACTGTGGAGGACATAAATACATCATTAATTGCAGAGTTACTTTTCCATCTCCATTTAACTGCAAATGGTTGTTGACTGAGGAAGTCACTAAACAAGGACTACTTGTGCATTTTTACCAGTCCTTGTAAAATGCCCCCAATCTATCATTCCAATAACTCTGGCCATAGTCGTAGAAATAAAATCTATTATAGCCAGTCATTCATTTGTAATGCTTTTCTTTCTCTTTTTAGTCTAATTCAGTGGAACACCATTTGAACTCACAAGGTTTTCCTTTCTAGACAGGCTAATATGTAACATCCAGGAAAAGATTTTTAATAAATATAAAGTAGGTAGCTGAATCTGATAAAACTGTTCTTTGTGTAGACTAGATTATGGCACCATTGTGAGTCAGTTGGTCAGAATTAGACAGTGTTAGTCACATTTGAGGTACTCAGAATTTCTGATTTCAAGCATCTCTGGGCACAATATAGATATGTTCCTATATAGCTGAATTTCTTCTCTTGCTCCACAGGGTTGTGACAAAAAGATGTACACATTCTTGAGAGGAACTAAGCAGTTGCAGGTGCTTCGGTTTCTAGGAATCTCCATAGGGGTTACCCAAATTTTGGCTATGATCCTTACAATTACTTTGGTGTGGGCTCTGTATTATGACCGCCAGGATCCACGCACAGACCAAATGCTGTCTTTGAAGAACGATGCCACTCAACACCTGTCATGTCATTCTGTGGAGTTATTAAAACCCAGCCTTACAAGGATCCTTGAGCATACTACAATGGCAAACAGCTTTAACACACACTTTGAAATGGAGGAACTATAGTGCAATCTGCCAGTCTGTGATTTCTACAATTTGAATATAGACATCATTTTGGATTCTGGACACTGCATTTTAAGGTATCATGGAAAAGAGGGCATGGAACAAAGATTTTCTTAAGGACAGTTGTTTTTCTTTTCTCATAAAACCTGTTAGAGTTGTAATGCTAAAAATAATTATTTTATAGGATAAATGTGTCCTTCATTTTTCATGAGATTGTATGTACCATGAGGAAGATAGATCACTAGTCTCATAATAGAGTGAAAAAAATATGCAGGAATAAATTTAGATCTCCCACCTATTCACTTTAACAATTCTGTTAGATTGAGGATGGAAGTGTTCAGTGCTGAAAGCCCCACAGATATTAGAGGGCTGTAGACAATCAGTGTTCAACAGTTACATATAATTTAAGTGATTTTTCCATTTGATTTTCAAATGGAACTGGCAAGCCACAATTATTGAACATGTTGCATTCAGATCTGCTTCCTCTGCAGTTAATCACAGCTAAGAAAACTCTGAACTCGGATCTTTCAGAATCTAAAAAAAACCCTTTGAAAATATGACAATCTTATCAGTTTAATCCACACATAGAATTGCATGTGAGAAAAATAATTCACAGTAGCACTGTGGTTACGGATACACTGATGGGAATGTTCAGCAGTACATTGTGTACAGAACACTAGGTTCTATGATATAGCAGATGTATGGTTTGCATTTGGAATGTAGCTATCAGTGAAATCCAGGCACGAAATCCAGTTACTTAACAGTATATCACTTCCCAATACATGTGTGTAAACTTTGGTTCTTCCCTCTTTTGTTTGTGCATTACACCACCAACATCAGTGGAATTTTAAAAAAATATATCATAGTCTCATATCCTGCATATGGTTTGTCCCACAATAAAGGCACATGGAACAGCTTAAGGAGAACCCATGACAACTGTTATTACTAAATAATGGTGGTAATTGCCACTAAAAGATCAGGGATAGATATGTATATAATAAAGTGTGTGTATGTACAATAGAATTGCTATCAGTATGGAAATCTGGATTTTTGTAAAGAGAATAATCTTATTTTAGCATCACTTTAGCTTAAGGAAATATGTGAATCATTTAATTTTTAATGATTTATTAATTTTCAAATTAAATTATGTGGACTGAAGAAAAAATACATATTAATACCTAACTATTTGTTATATGTGACAGCTATGTGGGTTGTTTGTATATGTCTAAGCATGTGTATGTGTGTATATGTGTATGTATGTGTGTATATGTGTATGTGTGTGTAAATGATTCAACTTTAAGGAGAGAATTCTATCCATTTGTTAGTTTGCTGAAACTCAAGTTACTAAAGAGGAAATCTATATTGTCTCCAAAGAAAAGCTCCTTGTAAAAATATTCCAACTTTTCTCCTACCCTACTTATTTTTCAGTAAGAAATTTGGAAGATGATTTCCCCAGTTAATTGTCCCACTGAAATCAGTGAGAATAAGGCTTATTTAACTTTGCTTAGATTTTATACTTAGCTTTCTGAAAACATATATTAATGTGTGATTTGGCTCATTTGAATACCACGGAAGTATTTCTTTTGTAGGAATTTTTCTATGGATCCCCTAGCTGCTGCATATTTTCATCAGAATTTGAATATTTGATTGGGGGGGGGGAGACTAGTGGATGCCTAGCAGTAAGTACATACTTTGAATGGATACTCTTTTGTATTATTTCAGTTCTGTAATCAGGTCAGACATAATGCTGCTTGGAGAAACATGATTTGTTACAGTATAACCAGACAACGGCTATATCTGTATCTTCATTTTACCCTTCTTTATTAATCATAGCTTAAAAGGAAACGGCATACTTTGTTGAGTTTTTCACTGTCTCCAAGAAGCTGAAATTTAAATACAGTCTACAAATCAGGATTGTAAATCAAAGTTTCAACTTTAATTTGCAAACCAAGATTCTAGAGACCATGCAAACAGCATTTTCCACTTTAATCATCATGGGAAATTGTAATTTAATAAAACTGTGATTAAGTAAACCCAGAAATTTCCTTACAAGCTGAGCATCCAAAGAGGCAGAAGGGGAAAATGAAAAACCAGAGGTTGATCTCATGACAATAATTATATCTGCACTTTTGATTCTGTAAGTACACAACATGGACTAGCTGATCTGTAGGCTAAACAACAGGCTATTTTGAAAAACTATGTTTTTTTCTTCTACTTAGAGAATATGCATGGGAGCCAATCCAAATTGGGATTCTGAATGTGGGTCAGAAAATAGATTAAACTATTTGCTCATGTAATATTCTGATTTGAATATCTTGATCTCAAAAAGAGGTTCAATAGATAACTTTAATAAATTACCTTTTGGGAATTAAAATGGAAAGAATGAGAAACAATTTTTCACCACAACAGAAATCAAAGCATCCTTTTAAATATCCTGATTCCAATTGGATTCCTTGTGCATATGCCATATAAATCTGCTAACTTTAATTTTAAAGTAATATGTAAGTTTGTTCTTATTTATTCAATTAAAGATAGCATCTTTATAGATTGCAAGAAAAACCTATTTTCCATATTGAATACTGGATGGCTTAAGTTCCCACGAGACAACTTATTTATTGAATTCTGAAAAGTGCATCTTACTGTATTTTATATGTGCTATAGGATTATTTTTTTCATCTAGCTGTATTACTGTTCTGCATTTTATAAGCAGGCAGTTGAAATTATTGTGTCTCCTGAGAGATATAGTCTGGTTGTCAAAATTAGATATCCCCCCCCCGCCCCCGTTGTTCTTTGCAAGGTGAAAATAGAAAAGGACTGGGCTGAAGCAAATGTTTGGAAACTTAAGTGATTGACCATGTGCTTTACCTCTCAAGCAAGATATATTGAACTTGTGAAGTTCTTTTATTCTTATTCAATTCCCATTAGTAGCAGCAAAGGATGAAAGTGCCAGGGATAAATGGAAGCTTGTACTCTTGTGATTTTTTTAAATAGTCCTAGCTTGCCCTGGACTTCATTTTGGGCAAGGAAAACAAAGCCCAATGTGATCAACAATAAAACCACTACTGTCATATATTTTATATTGTGTTGTTCATTCATTATTTCATTAAAAGAACTGTCCTCTAATTTCCTTTTGGCTTTTAATGGGATTTAGCTGTTAGGTTTTTTCTTCTAATCTAATCTAATATTATCAGTTACCTGCAGCATAATTTTTGGACACTGTTTTGCTAGTCTTAGGTAAAAGAGGTTTGTTTTCTCAGGTAGCTGAGTAGGTTCTAACTTTTTGAAGTTCTTGCAGACCCCAATAATCACCGCCTGCCCTGCTGAGATTGCTGAAATCACAGATGACTGGTTAGGCCAACATGCCATCTAAAGAAGTTTTCACTTTGCTTATAAAGAGCAGTCAAAGAGAAAGTTGATAAGAGTTTGGAGACAGCTCCAGTTTGCTATCTTTCCTGTTTGGCCATATTAATATATAGTTTCTTGCACCTACTGAAAAGTACAAATAGGTGCAGATATAGATTATGCATAAGTCCTATATTGAGCAGAAATTTTCCATTTAAGTGTTTTTAAGTTCATAAAAATAAAAAGCAAGTGTGCTGTATATTCCATAGAGCAGTGGTTCCCAATCTTTTCTATACCCCGGACCCCTAGAACACTTGTGATATATTCTTGCACCCCTTACAAAAGTTTGAAATAACAGCAATGAATTATGCATATACACTATAATTTTGAAAACCCAAGTTTTCGTACCCCCTGGAATTTCATCTCGCACCCCCAGGGGTGTGAGCACCCCTAGTTGGGAACCCCTGCCATAGAGCTATGCAATGTTTTGGATCTGATTCTTTAAATGATGCTTTGGAGTATGTGGGGATATGAATTTTCCTATAACTCTTTAAAGCATCAGTGTCTTTTCTCAGAATCATATAACAATTGTGTCCTCTCATGCTTCAAAGTATTTTTATGTAAACTATCAGTTATTTTGATTCCCCAGAAGAGAATATGGTCTTGATGTTCCAAAGATATGGTACTATGTAATTATATATATGAAGAATAACATTAAATTTCAAGTGAAATTTTACTCAAGGGTTTTCTGCATTCATTCAAGATCATTTGACATATAAGCAGGAACAAAATTTTCTGTGAATGAGATTATTGCAAAACCAGTTTCCCATTCAAGCATGCAGATGTTTTATTTAAGTAGTCCTCGGACCTCTGATTTGTTTAGCATAACACATCTTGTTATACTATTCTTCTGAAACACAAGACAAATTTCACCTCCCCATAGTAGAAAAAGAAAAAACATCTTAAATTTTTTATGACACACAGAAATAATTACATTTAATTTACAGTACAGATGCATTTTACACAGTCGCAAGTCGTTCACTAAAAAAAAAACAGCATTTAAATCACCTAAAACACTGAAAGAATGTTTAGCTTCTGCATTTCAAAGAAAACAGTAGTAGCTGTGTGATGGGTGGCTAGCATTATCGAACACAAGAGCAGAGGAGTCAAGACAAACATACCGCTAGACTGTATCCTGTTCTCTAAGTACTGGTGTTCCAGCTTTCCCATTTATGTATGCTCTCAAATAAAGCATTGGCAAAGACTAAATTTTTAAATCCCAGAATGTGGGAACTGGCTTATAAAGCTCTTAATTTAAAACAGAGTTGGCCTTGATTGAAAAAAATATGGGAAAAGAAAGAGGTAGTAGTAAGGCTGTTATAGCCATAAATCAATAATACCTTATGCACAAGCTGGACTATAGACGGAACCTCTGCGAGACATGAAGTTTGGATGTCACTTCATTGATATTTGTGGACTGAATTCAGCAGGTCAGTGATAAAATCTGTTTCTGCATACAGCTCACCAGGAGCTGTCTGTGACTGCCAGTTTCTGCCTGCAAAGTAGCATCCACAAATGTAATTAATGTACCCAGTGATATTTCAAGAGAAGAAACTGGTGAAAATTGTATTTAGTATTTGAGTATTACTAAAACCCCAATTTCCTATAGCATAAAATACAAGAGTGAGTAAGTAATAAAAAATACAGCAGTGAGTAGACAGAGTTTGTACATTTTCAATTATTGTTTTCCTCTTAACATCCACTGCACATGTGCACACCTTGCATGGTGAAATCAAGGACTCCTTCACCATCTTCTAGCATGCCTTATACAAAAAGTCAACACAGAAATCAGCAGGAGCAAAGAGCATCAAAATGGGGAAAACTCTATTGTGGAAGAAAAGTTATTTAAAATATTCTTGGAAGAATGAAATAGTCCTGGGGTTTTGGGGAGAATCATTTAAGATAATTACACTGGAAAACAGAACATTCAATAGAACCAGTGTATGGCAAGGGCCTCAAATGCAAATTGATATTAAAATGGTGATTATAGTAATTTTTATTCTTTACTAAGAATAAAAATCATAACCAGAAGATGGAAGGGGGATAAAACACATGATTTTTTTCACCTTGAACCTACTTTGTGGCTACATTTTATAGGAAGTTGGCATGGAATATATTAACCAATTTTAAAGCCAGATGCTGCAGTAAAACGTGTCAGTGTAATAAAAATAATTGCATGGATGTTTCTATACTGCTGTGGCAATATAGCATTAAATATTATGTTTATATTTCCTCTGAAACAGTCCAACTGAAAGGTATACTGCTCAAAGTGAGAGGTTAATTGCTATTGCTGTAAGATGTTGCATCCATTTGTGTTAGTTCTTGTTTGGGCTGGTCTCTGAGAAAGCCAGTGCAGATTCTGTTGCAGTTTCACCTGTTTACCTACCCCCTGGTTTTCCAGGGGAAAATCACCCCTAAACTAAGGCAAGAAGACCAGGCAAATCCATTCATAGTTATGGGATGAATATCTTGCCCTAAGGCCTGCTCCAGTGCACTGTAGAAGTGAGATGCTTTGGATTGTATCACTGGTCACATAATAATACAAGTGTTGCAGGTAATTTAAACTAGATTGTTTAGAAACAGAGAAGAACAGACTGATCACCAACATCCAATGTACAGGTAGTCCTCAGCCTATGACAACAATTGGGACCAGAATGTCTATTGCTAAGTGAGATGGTTTGTGAGTTGTGCTCAATGCTATGATCATTTTTGCCACAATTTTTAAGTAAATCAATGTGGTTTTAAGTGAATCATATGATTATTAAGTGAATCTGGTTTCCCCCATTGACTTTACTTATCAGAAGCTAGCTGGGAAGATCATAAATGGTGAATCACCTGACCACTGTAAATTTATGACAGCTGGGTGACTTGGGCCAGTCACTCTGTCTGAGTCCAACCCACCTCACAAGCCGTTATGGGAAAAATAGGAGGAGGAAAGAGTATCAGATATGGTCTCCACCTATTTATAAAAAGTAATACTGGAGAAAAATAAATAAAAAATATCAATCAATCAATCTAAATAAATTCTGGTTGCCAAGTTCACAAATTTTGATCACATGACCATGGGGACTGTGTGATAGTTGCAAGTGCGACAACTGGTTGTAAGTCATTTTTTTCAGCACCATCATAACTTTGGCATTTAAATAAATGATTGTAAGTTGAGGACTACCTGTATAATTTTTAGTATTATATCAGTGGAGACATTTATAGACATTCTTCCATACATCAGGTAAAGACACTTCTCAGATGAAATACAATTTCATATTGGCCCATATATCAATTTCTTTAGAAAGTCTTTCCAGATTTGGTTATATTTTATCAACTGCTTTGTTTAATAAGGCGAAATAATAGGCAACTATCACATTCCTAAACAGATAACAATAACTAAAGAAATAGTAGAAGAAAATTGGGTTTTTGAAACTTGAGTTATTTGAAACAGCATTTTAAAAATCCTTTAAAAATCCTAAAAGTGACACAAAAAACTCTACATGATAAAATATATGCACTGATCCTATGGTAATACACTCGTAGCTCTGATCTAAAGCTTTAATTTCAATTGTAATCCATTTTAGAATATTGGGCATCCATGAAGGGAGATACTTAAAAAAGTAAAGATGGGGCTAGTCCTGCAATAGCGACTCATGTAAAAAAGGGGCAGGCCTTGATGATACGGTCACAGTGGCCATCTTGACTTTTTCAAACTCCACTTCACTGCAAACGCCTCTGTTAAGCTATCTGATCCAGTGCTTCAGAACAGATTTGACAAACAGATTTATGTAATCTTCAGCAAATCTTATCTGCACGACTTCCAGCACTTAGTTTATTCAATATCATTATATAGCAGTTTTAGAGGACTTAACTGCTATACCATGTTAGTTTTACATCAGATGTCAGCTACATTGTAACATCACATTAGGAAGACTTAATTAGTTCCGAAAACAAACACTATAGAATGGTGCTTATAGATCAAGCTTTTTTTTTTTTTAAAAAAACACATACAGGAAAACTCCATATTCAAAGGAGAACAAAACAAATAACAAAAAGCAAAGATTGGCTTTGAGGAATAGTAGGATAATAGAAAAACAAAAAAAGCTGACAGAATTATTGTTGGCCTTAAATGATTAAAACATTAAACTTTCTCATGTTACATAATGTATTGATTATCCATGTGGGCTTTTATTTTATAGCTGACTTTGTGTAGTTACCGTATTTTTCTGTGTATAAGATGCTATTTTTTTCCTGCAAACACTCTGTTCAAAAATCAGGTGCGTCTTATACAAGTGCAGCGTCTTATACACAAAAAAATAATGGTAACCTCCGTAGCCCAGGACATGCCTGTGTGGGTTCTTTACATACTGCTGCTATGCTGCCTGATGCAGAAGGATATCGCTGGCCCAAGATGCTGCCTGGTGCTGGAGGATCGCGCTGCCCCAAGGATGCTGCCAGTCCCACTGAAGCCACTTTCTATGACCCGTTTTTTACCAGCGCAGCTCGGGCTGAAGCTGCAACGGGGCGTCTTATACAAGGGGGCGTCTTATAGACGGAAAAATACGGTATATAAATAAAAGACTGATTCCTGATACAACAGATGTACATTGAATTATTGCAGTTGTAACAGTACCGAGGAAGCAAGGGAAAACAATCATAAATACTAAACTAACTGAACACCTCAAGTTCACTAATGTGTGTTTTGAATATGAAATTTTTCTCTCCCCATCCCACCCCTCTCCAGCAAGTTATTTGTACACCATGGAACATTGACAATCAGTTTTTGTAAGTGCACAGAAATGCCCCTTTTTTACAATAAAATGTTATCATGCCTAGTCTGAAGTAAACAACAGAAGTAAATTCAGCTCCAAAGAATTTTCACATGCATATGAGTTGTTTCTTTCAATCCGTATTCATACTGGATGAGCCATTTCTCTCTCTTTTGAAGTCAGCTGATTGATGAGTTCATGGTTTATCAATAGGAAAAAAGAGAACACGTTATCAAAACTAGGTCCATCCTTAATTTTGCATTTGGCTGGAAAATAAACTGTCTGAATGGTGGTATGTGTCTTTTTTTTTTAGATATTTTATTAAAAAGATTTTTTTCTGTATCCCCATGGTAAGAAGAAGCTTTAATGGGAGACATTTCATTGTGCTCATACAGTAAATGAAAAGAGTCACACAAGAGTTTATTCCAGAAAAGGTTCAGTTCATATAGAAATTCCATTTGGTTGTTCACTGCACACAGTTCAATATTGAAAACCTAGAATATTTTGTATCTCTGGAATCCTTCCATTATCTGTGGCTGTTCTGTTTAACCCAGAGATACATCTCTCCTTCTTCTGAATCTTGACAGCTACTCAATGGTCTTTATTCTACCTGTTTTATAAAGCAGATACTCGAACGATGTTTCCTCCTGAATACTCTGGAGAATCCTGTCTATTGTTTCCTTCCGGGGTAGTCACAGGTGGTGTTGGGATGCTAATTATTGCTGTGGTTACATAAGGCTGCTCACAGTTTAGTTTTACACACTCTTCCATTTTGGCATTTAAACTGGATCGACTAGAGATGAGAGAAAAATAAATAGAAACAAATTATGTAAACATTCCATCTACTTTAGGGTTTTTATACAATTCTACTATGTCAGAAAATAATCCCAGATGCATGTTGGTCAGGTCACATATATAGAAGACTTTACATTTGTTTGTTTGTTTGTTTATTTATTTAGATCTTTCCTTTATTTAGATCTTTCCTTTTTAGAAATAAATCAAGACAGCGAATGTACCTAATACTTCTTCATCCTCTAATTTTTCTCACAACAACCCTGTAACTTGAGTTGGGCTGAGAGAAAGTGGCTGTCCCAAGGGCACCCAGTTGGTTTTTCATGCTTAAGGTGGGACTAGAACTCAGTGTCTCCTGGTTTCTAGCTTGGTGCCTTAACCACTAGATCAAACTGGATGTGAATACTTACTGTTTATGAATGTCTTTTTCTTACATCTTCTACATTTACCTAGATTTGGAAGTGCTAAATGAGTTTAGGCTATTGTTTTGGAATGGTTCACAGCTTTTTAAAAAATCAACTCATGTATAATATTGATCAATAATGAAATTAAGGCTCTCATATATTAGCTTCAATTACACAACAGCTTACAACCCAATATAGCTTTGAAGAAATGTAGACATCATATTTAGAGACTGAAACACAGGAGGACATGCACTCAAACAAAATGAAGGTCGGACAGGTTCATATGTAGAATTCAGTTGTAAGTGGAAGTCTGACTATAAGTACATTGAGATGCATATTTAAATAATTATTTATAAACTAACTTCCACTAGTTGGGTCACAGGAATCACAAACTAAACTGGTGTTTGGAGGTGGAAATGATTCTCATTTTCACTACATTCAAGGAACATTTTCCCAAATAAGATTTTCTCAGTGCAGCATTTGCTCTATCGTGAGGGACATGATACATTTCTATATTTTTGAAAATCATCTTATCCTCATGAAATTCATGGTGATTTACCATAATGAAATCATCAGATTTCACTTATTATAAAATATAAATTGGAAGATATAATGAAAAAAGTACTGCTCAACATTTTACACAAAAGAATCATGTAATGAATATAGATATTAAAGAAATTCATTCACTTCTATTCTACAATTTAAGCATGAAAAGGCTTTTTCTAGAATGCTTTAGACATAGCTTGACAGTTTGGCATCAGCAATTTAAAAGGTAACCACCAAATTCCTAGATTAAATACGTTTTCAGCCACTTTTTAATTTTTAAAAAATTATGGTTTACCTTTATTTGGGGGGACCTGTGTCATGACATGAGCACAAGGGATGATGCTTTTCTTTGTAGTAACCATTATTTGAAACAGCAAGTGTAAACAATCATGTACTGTATACATCTTGCTAATTTTTTGCCCAGAAAATCTGAACATTTTATCAATTATACCTATCTAAGAGCATTTTTACAACTGAAGTACCTGTTTGACAGAGGTGTTCTTTCCATGCACCTGATCTGAATAGTGCTGAGTTCTTGGACACTACTTGGACGGCTGCTGATTATATTGGTATTTGGGATGCGGAATGTCTTTTTATGTCGCCGGGAACAGCAAGAGCTTGTCACTCCTTGTTGAGAAGAGAGAGAAGGACTATGGCTAGTTTGCCGGTTGATTGTAGAAACCTCCATACAGCTTTCTTCATAGGTTTGATCATCCACAAACTCGTGATTCTGGGCCATAGACATAGGGAGAAAAAGCAACATGAATGACATTGTAACAGTGACTTATGCAAGATACTCATATTTCATTGTAGTTATAGGCTATGTTTTTTTTTATTTTGTCCTTGCAAGGGCATTCTTAACAAGAAGTCAGAACCCAAATACTTCTGAATAAAAGTGCATGGCATTTCAGGTTAATGAATGGAATTTCCTTCCAAAGTACAACATATCTATTAACTGGATTTAAGCAAAGCCTAGGGTTTGAATTTATTAACACTTAGAACAATAAAAGTAATTACTTTTAAAATGAGCTGAGTCTCAGAAATTGCCTGAGATATGTGGAATTGCTATAAAAATTACTAATACCAATATATTACCTACAATAATGTATCTGCTAATCATGTTAATCTCAAAGATGAAAGGGAAAATTGGAAGATGTTAAAAAAGAATATTTGAAAAGAAAAAACAATACTTTTTCCTGTGTCTTTCCCTAATAAAATGAAAGCAATCAAAAGATCAGATGTATTTTTTGAAGTTATAGAATGATGAAATTTAGCACCATGAAGATATATTAAAGTCTGGTCACCATCAACCCATGATTCTACAACAGAGCAGGTGATATCTCAACAGAGGTAGCCACTTGACCTAATTTCAAAAAGCAAATGGAAGCCATAACATTTAAAATAATATAAAAGCTAAATAAAGGCCCACTACACATAGGATCTGCTGTTTTAATCTGCTACAGATAAAAATTAAAAGCAGCAGTACAAATATTAGAAACATACAATTGATTTCAAAGTTTTCCTCCCTTCAATTGAAAGAAACTTTTTGCAAGTCCTTTTAAATGAAGAGGATGTTGAATCCAACCTAACAATTTGTCATCAGAGAGAGAGAGCATGAGGTATTAGTTCAGGATTTCCATTCCTGGTATGACATTCCCAATAATCAACACAACTGCAACAATGCCTACACTGATCTGTTTTTGGATCTGTTCGCTCCTCGGATCTGTTGTCCTTTTGGCATTTCTTCTTGATATCAGAACCATATGAAAAGGAGCAAACTGAAACATATACGTTTGACTGCTAAACACTGCCTGTTGGTGAAGCTCAGTGACAAAAAGTGTGGATCACTATAGTTTTTTCTTGGCTGCCCATGCGTAAAAGGAAAAATCAGCATAGCATGACCAAAGCATGGAGCAGTTCTTAAAGCAATAAGATCAACCAACATAATTTTTGTTTATTTTTACAGATCAGTTTATCATCTTACCGTAGTTTTTTCCAGACAGTGAAGCAGATGGTGGTGCTGGATTTCAAAGGAAGAACCAGATTTGCTAACAAAGGCCTCTTGTTCTTCACCATATAGCTGTTGATATATTGAATGTTACATTATTCTCATTTGTGAAAGAATGGACTTTAAGTTGATTTCTTGACTTTAAAAAGAGCCAATCGCTATAACTGTCTATCATGGAAATATTAAATAGCATAAAATAATCTGATTCTGAGTTCACTTTTAACTAACTTGATTTAAAAGTCAAGACAAGCAAATAATTGTTCACTGAATGTTGCAACATGACATTGACCATCTCAAATCAATCCTTAGTGGTTTTTAGACAAGTGAACTTTCCCCAATCTGATATCCTCCAAATTGTGGGAATCTACCTCCATAATTCCATACTATCAGGGAATTAAGAGAGTTGAGGTTCAACATTTTTGGAAGTGAACCCTCTGAGGAAAAAATTAATAAACATTATTACACTTACAGTATCAGTTTACATCAATGGGGCCAATAAAGGCAGGATGAAAGCACTGGTGTGAGCGATCCAGAAAAAAAGCAGCCATTCAGTGAAAAGTTGGACATGATTATGCTAAATAGAACTCTCTAGAATAATCCTGGGGAAGTTCATAGTATTTCAATGAATAACAAATGATAACAGTAAAATGTTAATTCTAATTATCTACTGAAAATACCCTGCCACAGTTTAAATATGTGAAGTAATCAAGTCTTCTTTTCCTTTCCTTTTTTTTTCTTCTTCTAGGCTCACTTTCCATTTGGATGCTCTTGTCAATAGGAGTGATGGTTTGTCATTTGAACTTCATTGCTTTAAAAGTTTTCTACGCTGCATTTCAGCATTATAGGGGAAAAAGACATTTCTATTATTCAACATAAAACCCATATCAATATTGCCACTAGCTGCCATTATAGCACCTTAGAAAGTGTACAAAAATCAGTACAGGAGCAACGAGCAATAAAGTCTTGTTAAATAAATGAGTTCCTGAAGGTGAGGGAACAACAGAGCTACACTTAGTAAAGGAAATCATTCTAAAAATTGTGCTAATAAAGGACTGGTGTTCGGCTTCATTTTTGTTGGTGTTGCTGCTGCTACTTCTGCAGTCAGCTACAATTCTAATACTTCTTAGACAGCCTAAGAAAATGGTTTAGTTAACTAGTCTTCACACTTTTGGATTTCTACCATACTATGCTTACTATGGGAAGTTCTCAATTACAGTCACAACTGGGACCAGAATTTCTGTCTAAGCAAGGCAATTGTTAAGTGAGTCACAACCAATTTTATAACATTTTTGCCACAGTTGTTAAGTGAATCACTGCAGATGTTAAGTGAATCATGAAGTTGTTAAGTGAACCTGATTAACTTTGCTTGTCAGAAGCTGGCTGGATAGGTCACAATTGGCAATCATATGACTCCAGGATGCTGCAACCATCATAAATATCTCCCAGTTGCCGTGCACAAATTTTGATCATGTGACCAAATGGATGCTATGATGGTCATAAAGACAAAGGCCAGTCATAAGTCACTTTTTTCAATGCTGTTTTAACTTTGAACAGTCGCTAAATGAATGATTGTAAGTCAAGGACTACCTGAGCTCTTTATTAATTCCTTCTCCATGGATATACTGGAAAAAAACCCTGCCATTCACCCCTGAAATAAAGGCCTGGAAATCCATGTGGAGATCAAGAGGGAAAGGGAGTTTGAGCTGAACATTCCTCCAGTATAAGAGACCTTAGAAATCACTTAGACATAATTTGAAATCTCTTTGAAATTAAAACCAAAAGTGATTTATGATTGAGGCCAGAATGGTATGTGAATTTTGTGTGTATATGTGTGTGTATCTTTGTTTGGACATATACGTATGTGTGGCAAGGGAAATAGCCCTTGGAGGACAATTTCAGACTTATGGGAACTACATGACAAACCCACATTCTCCATCATACATTAATTTGACTTTGCAGGTCCCAGAAACGAGACTGGTCCATCTTGCCTGAACTGGGCTTGCAAAGCTTTTGCTAGTTACAAGCAATTACTCCTTCTTCTGCCTGAGGGTGACTGTCATGGTATATTGGAAAGCAGCCTGACATTTTCCGATATGAAACAGACAGAGGATCACTGGGCTATTATTAAATAAATGGTGTTTCTGGATATAGAACACAGATGCTCATTACCTGCAGCTGGTTACTGAGGAAGCCATTTCTTTTGCTCTGCATATAAGCATTTGCACTCCCACTCTTTGCTGCACGGATCCTTGCAAGCCGGGCTTTCTGGGGCGGGGGGGGGGAAGAGGAGGAAAGAGAAAAAAGTGTCACTTGCTTTTATAGCCCTCATATTGTTTTCAAAGAAAGGCAATACAGCTAATTGAAAAGATTTCTCCTGAATACCCAAGCTCTCTAATCACCAAAGGGTCTCTTTCAACTGGCTCTCCAGGTGCAGTGTTTCACATTTCCAATGCAAATTATCAGGAAGCATTCATTTCTCAGCAGGCATCAGCCCACAAGAACAATGCACGGGCTTTGAGTCCATTTACACCTTTTCACGTTAGACAGATTGTTTCCCCATTTCTACCGTCAAGGTGATTGTGTCACCGCTGGTACCTGGAGGTGAGGAACCCTCCTTTCATATCATTTTACTTGCACCGTTTCTGAGACCGCCACTAAAAAAAAAAAAAAAGCTCCTTCAGAAAAATGGACAAGATCAGAAGGACTTGGAGCTGTTCAACTGCAGAGAAGTGTCATATGTGGTGATTCAGAAAAGTCTGATTTGTACAACCCAGTGAGAACCAAATTGATGGCTCTCTGTTTATCCAACTGCTGGGAGTGAAAATTTTGAAAGCAGTATGTACCACAGAATGGTTTAAGTTACTTTTTTGGATAAACTCCAGGGTACTAAAGAATTTGAACAAAGACTTCTCTAATTGTCTCATTTGATTTGCCACTATCAAGGGAGTCCAGTAATTTCCATCTTGAAGCAGAAACAACAATTATAATTAATACATGGAAAATATGCTCTCTTCTCATTAGGCCAGAGAACACCATGAAGAAGTAAAAAGCCTGTGGACTGAGAAATGGCAATCTAAAGAGGTCATGCTAAATTAAATTCCCAAGTTCTCTCTTTTTACTTTATTCTCTTAAAAAAAAAAAACACTCTAATGCCACAACTGAATAAGTGGCTTTGCATATTGTCTTAGGTACTGAAACCTTATGAAAAAAAATTCTTCTGGAGCAAATAATGGTACAACTCTAATTAATCTATTGTATGTCCAGTTTGAACTGTCTTGTAGTCAGAAAGATGAGGGATATTTGTATATTATATTTCAGTTTACACCATAATTATAATAAAAGCATTTAAAAGCAATCATAAGATTGGGAAGGCATATTCTCAAACAAAAAGGGCACTCTAGAATTGCCTCCTTTGCTTGACAAGGAAAT